CGGGGATTGAACTCAGGCCCTTGTGCTTGCCAGGGAAGTGCTCATTCCACTGAGCCATCTCCCCGGCCCCAACATTCTTAATAAACAGGCACCACCTCATCTTTTATAGCACAGGCAGATGAAGCAGGCAAAGACAAGGAAAAATATCAGAAAGCACCTGGTAGGCAAGGAACCTGTTAGGTCTCCTTGTTTCAGGGAAACCTGTGCTCAGAGGTCCCTTCCCCTGTGTTGGAAAGCTTTCTTCAGTGTTGGGGACAAGCATGGCCAGAACTGGTCCCCTGGGAAGGAACCTGAACGCCAGGCCAGAAGGATCTCTCTTGAAATTTTGCAAATCTCATTTTTGTGCCTGGGTTAGTGTATTTTCTCCTGTTTGAGCCTTCTTCACACTTATCAACCTTAGCATGTACCAAATGCCCTTTCAAGGGCTGGAACTTGTGCCTATGAAATCACCCTGCATCTGAAATTGCTCCCAGTGGCTAAAAACCTACTTTTTTAATGATATGGTACAAGATACGACTATGAGAATGGTGCTGACCCATTTTGCACAGACTTCTGGGTGCTAGACTACCACATGCCACTGTGGACCCTTGGGATTAGGCTCTATGTGGAAGCCTACGCAGGGGTCTAAGGTGTGAGCACAATGGCAGTTCTGTGTCCTACCTGCCTCCTGCCCTTGTCTGCAGAGGCCATCCTACCTGCCTATTGGGCTCTGCATCTCGTGTTAGGTCATTTCTGTCTGTTTTGAGGACTTTCAAGACCGTTGGCTCAACGCCTCCAGGTCCTCCTAATGGTGCCCTCTCTCGTTTCCAGGCAGTGATGACAGCATGCTCTCCAAGCCTGGGCTTCAGCCATGTTCATGAACAATGGATCTTCCTTGCACACAAGAAACCTCTCTCTGCTCCACTCCCGGCCTTTACTCTTGTCATTCCCAAGTGTGGTCAGCATGAAAGAGATCACAGTCGAGGAATGTAGTAATTGCAGCGTAAGAGATTACAAGACATGGTTGGAATATGTGTTTAGTGGTTTTGCTACAAAAGTCAGGATGGTAAATAAAAACCCAGAAAAATGAACGAAAGTTCATACTCTGGCCAGGACTTTTTCTGTAATCAGTAAAATAGTTAACAAACTTTGAGTCAGCCATTCCCAGTGGCATGAGTACTGCAGCATTAAATATGCAGCAATATGGAACTGCACAGGCTACCACCATATAATAGGTCAATGCAAACTGTGAAGGATCACTGCCTTGTGACCACTAAGGGCACTGCTGGCCTTTCCCTGCAGGGGGATAGGAAGTTGGCCAGAAATACTGCTTTTGACTTAAGAACACAAATTATTTCCAATTCCTTGAGATGACACCTGTTTAAGAATGTCTACATACACTGACTAGACAATAGATATGCACCTTTTTTCCACCTCCCCTATACTATTCATTGATAAACTACTTCACGTGGACTCATGTATTAATGTGGGTGATTCAAAGTAAGTTTCAACTAATTACAAATCATCAAAAAATTATCAGGTCCATAGTGGGAAAGCAGGAAAAAAAATTTGCTACCACAGGTGGATGACTGTAACACTTTTACTCTTAATACTTTTTTGTATTTTTTAGGGTAGGGTCTGCAGGGTGTTCAGGGTCTCACTACTAGATCGGACTGGTAGCGATTCTCCCGTTCACAGCCTCCCAAGTGCTGGGATTACAGGCATGTGCCACCACACCATCTCAATCACTCTCAATGCGCCTTGGGGGCACGGCAGGCCTGGGGATTGAACCTCTGGCCCCTGAGCCTGCTTGCAGGCGCTTAAATCTGCTGAGTTATTTGGATGGCCCTTTTGTTAATACTTATTACTTCTGTAAAGAAAATTTTTACAGTGGATATCTGGCAGGTAACATCTTAAGGAAGCAATTTAACTCGGCATCACCAATCGTGGAATTTTATATCTCCTAAACAAAACATGAATTACACAAAATAAGGAATGAAATAGCAAAAACCTGAATCTAATAAAATCTTTAGTTCTGACTTACAGGAAATAGTGGGGGACAGAGGAAAAAGGTACTAGTATGAAGCTAACATACCATTCTAGAATGTAAGACATTTTACAGCAACAGAAAGGTCCAACAAATAAACCTCGATGAAATAAAATAGAAACAATTATAACTCAGGCACAAGGGGCTGGGCAAATAGCTCAGTGGATTAAAGGGCTTAGGCAGATGCAGGGGCCAGGGGTTTGATCCCTGGGTCTGCCAATGCCGGCCCAGCCCCTGGGGTGTGCTGAGGTGATTGAGACTAGGCGTGGTGTTGCACACCTGTAATCCTAGCTCTTGGGAGGCTGTAAACAGGCGGATCTGTGAGTCTAATCTACACAATGGGACCCAAAGACCCTGTACTAAATACGAAGATTTAAAAAAAAAAAAAAAAAATTCAGGCACAAGAACTTGAATATGGGCCATTAGAATAAGCTGAATTACTTTTTCTGTAGTGTGATGCTGCTGTGGTTACGTGGAAAGCAGTCTGTCTTCTAAGGAAATTCTTGTAGAACTATTTAGGGATGAAACACATTTGTGACTTACCCTTACGTGGTTCAACAAAAACGTCTACATATATAGAAAATAGGGATATACAAACAGGCAAAATGTTAAAAATTACTAATCTAAGTGGTTTGATTAAATGCTGTATCACCGCACTATTTTTCAAATGTTTCAGTTTGCAAATGATCAAAACAGAAAGTTGGGGAAGAGAGGCCCAGCAGAACAGGGTCAAAACATGAGATGTGACAGAGGACCCTAAAGATAAACATACCAAAGTAACAGCTCAAACAGTAGCACAAGATAGTGTGCAACATTTTGAGGACAGAAGGAATCTGAGAACAAAGTGAGTACAAATGACTCAGTGTGGGAAGCTGAGGGAATAGCAAGGAATCTCAGTATTCTCCATGAAGGGAAGCAAGGAAGGCCACAATGGGTTGGTGGCATGAACACAGTAAAGATTTGGAATTGGTGCTACAGGGAATGGAAAAGAAAGCTGACCAAGGACATGCAGGACCACAGGCTCCAGCTGAGTTGCTGCCTGATGGGAAATGCTCACTTCGGCTCTTAGCACTCCACGTCCATCTACTGTCAAAGAATGCCAGACTCTAACTGGACTCCTTCACCTCTTTAGACCATGAGTGCGAAGACAGACAGCTTGACTTTCTTTCATTTTTGAGTTTCCAGCAACAAGTGACTGAGATGTTAAGACACATTCAATGACTACTTGGTCAGTCTATTAGATACATTTTCCAATTTTAGATGAACAATTAAAACTCTGTAAAGGCTTTATTTCTGGATGTGCTTGTAACTTTAACAAATATTTTTGAAGGAAAATTAACAATATTACCAAAATACAATAGTGTAATATAAAGTGCCTAAGTATTTTAATCACAATGTATTGGATAAAACACAAAGAAACAACTGCTTACTGGATAAAACATGAACAGTTGCTTTATATTTAAAAAAACTCAACAGAACCCAGACCACGTTTCCCCTTTAAGTGTGCAAAATGTATAGAGTACGTTCCACCCCATTAGAGGCAAGTTTCAAGATTTGCCCATAGTTAAAAGTTTAGGAATTGGGCTCAGGTAATTTTTATGAAAACAACTCAGGTGACCAAGCACTTTTTGTCTCAGACATTGCAGGTAGCTCATTTTCCGAAAAAGAATCAACTCCAAAAACTGACCGTCTGGAAATCTGGCCTGAATTTTTACAGTTATATTTAGGAGCTTTCTGTTTCGCACCTCTTGCTGTAAACATATTGTTTAACTTCTTCTTAATGAGATAGGTATCGGTTCTCTGTTTGACATGTTTCAGTTTCTTTCTTGGTACCTCTCTCTGCTCAGGGGAATTATGGGCAGTAAGGCGCTTCCTGAAACCCAGGACCTGGAACCCAAGCGCATCTGAACAGAACCCTTTCGTTGTGGTGGGGGGTACACATTCATATGCATCATTTTCAACGCACTCAGCAACAGTACAGTGCATGAAAGTCTCTGCTTGTGTAAGAGCAGGTACAACAGGGCTTCTGGATTTCTTGCTATGTATTTTTATGTTTTGCAGACAACTTGGAATGGCTTGTTGTATGCCATTTTCAGGAGAAATTTGCGTTTTATTATAGTTTGCAGAAAGTGTAGGTAATTTTTTAATAAATCCGTACATCCTACGAGTTCTGGTGTGGCCGAGTCCCGTCACTGGAGTTGACTGTGAACATGGGACAAAGTTTTGGCTATCTTCAAGATCACATTCCAAATCTGACTGAAGATGGTGCAGAGGAGAACATGTTCTTGGATACCTGAAGGCAGATATGCTTTGCAAGGATAATTTCTGTGAGGACTGGGCGGAGTTTAGTGAAAATCCGGACTCTTTAAGATGGTTTTCTGGGCTTGCTCCGCCAGCACATATACCAAGATTGTCTGCCAAAGAAGTCTCCCACTGCAGCGAAAAGTCCTTTGATTTTTTGGTAATTTCTGTATCTTTAGCAATATCACCAAAGAGATCAGCAGAAGCATCGTAGCTGCTTTCATGACCAGGAGAGCTTTGAGTTAAATTATTATCCATCTGTCCACATGTCATTTCTTTCAGTACGTTTGTACTAATGTCTGGACTACTGCAAAGAGTTTCTAAAGGATATGTAAGTTTCCTACAAATTGTAAACCTGTCATGTTGGCTCTTCGGCCACATACAGTGTTTATTTTCTAATTTGCAAAGATCAGAAACATCACTGTATGTCTTAGAATATGAAGCTGTCAGCCTTTCATTCACTTCTGAAAGTGACTTTTCTCCACATTCACTAAAATATTTAATACCAAGGTAATGGTCATTTTCTGAAGTACTGGGTGTAAGTGAAATTTTATCTCTATGTGGTATAACTTTGACAGTCTTAAGAGTAACGGTTTTTAAATCTTCTGAAAATAGAAACCTAGGCGACAGGCAAGGTTCTGGTAGACAATGTTGTGAAACACCTCTTCCACTACTGCTTGTAGATACAGTCTCTGCTGTTACATTACTGCTTATGGAGACAGCATCTGCTGGATTAACTGGCTGTGGCTCCTTCTCAATACTAGAACCTTGATTTGCCCGACAGTGGGAAAGGAAGTTGTCTGTGGTACAGTTTGCTTTGTGTGTTGCTTGTAATGATGTTGAAGATGAGGGTGGTGGTTGTAGTGCTCCAGTAGTTCTCTGGGGAGATAGAGATAACCTGGTGCAGTCTGTATGGGATTTATCTATGTCATCATCTATATTATGTTTCCTATTCTTGCCATCTCTTGGGGTTTTAGCAATCTCACTTTCAACAAATGCTAGAAACTTGTCCAGGCTTTCAGATAATGGAAGATCATCCCAAACCACAGGGTCAGAGTCCTGGGAACCATTGGCTACCTCTTCCGATCTGAGCAACGGAAGTGAACAGCAGCAGGTACACATCTCTTGACAGCTACTGCTGTCTACGTCATGATGCTGGTAACATGGTAGCTCGTCTGGAGAATATGTATTTGTAATGGACACCACACTACTTCCCTCAAGGGGATCTTGCATTTTCAAAGGGAATAAATTAGAGTTAGTAATTCTGGTTTTGTGATAACTGCTCTGAACTATGCTCAGCCGATGACCTTGTATGGCAAGTTCTTTGCCCGACTTTTTTGGTGTACTTCTTCTATCCATGTACGAAACAAGACGCCACGAGCTCTGACTGGAACCACGGCAATCACTGGAGCCACACATCTTTGCGAAGGGTGGGCACTTTCTGGTTTGGTGAGGAGTTCCAACGGCCAGGCTTTGTTCTGAAACTGACAAATCATCCTTATCTGTTAGTTGTGAAACAGCAGAGGTGAGTTCAAGGGACAGGTGCCAGAATCTCGAAACGTTTTCTCTAGTCCAAGACTCCACAAAAGAGGAAGGGCTATTAGGGTCATGGATGCTGCTGAGGTCACTACTGGAGTGACCTAAAGAAAGCAACTGGCTACTGGGCTCCTGGGAACCACAGTGCGGTCTCCTCAAGCTGGAAGTCTGCAGAAACTGATGGAAACAGTCAATGACAGGGAAGCCTGCAGCACGTGGGTCTGGCAGAATGATCTGGCAAGCTACTAGTGCTCTGACTCCTCTTCTGAGGTCACGACACCTTTGTAAGAAGTCACTGGAATCAGAACCATGTCCACACTGGTTTTCAAAATTCTGTGAAAATAAATTAGTTTAAATGAGAATAACATGGTCTTCTTTTGACTCAAATAAAACAACAAAGATTTTAAAAGTTAAGGGCTGGCCTGATAGCTCAGGGCACTAAAGCGCCTGTTTAAGCAGAGTGCAGCAGCCAAAGTTTGATCCCCAGTCTGTTGTGCTGGCCCTGCCCATGGGGGCGTGCTGAGACTGTGATGGAAACTGGGCGTGGTGGTGCGCGCCTGTAATCCCAACACTTGGGAGGCTGAAAGCAGAATCACTATGAGTCTGATCTGCACAGCGAGACCTTGTAGACTCTGTCCTAAATACAGGAAAAAAAGGTTAAAGCAGGCAGAAGTAACCTGTACTCCTGCTAACTCAATTCCTCTGCTCCTGTAGTCAGAATAGAATATATAGGAGGTAAATCTTGAGAGTAAGGAACATCTGCCTTGAGATGTTGCTTCTAGCATTCACTGCACGTTGGGACTCGGACAAGTAATTTAACTGCGCTGAGCCTCAGTTTTCTCATTTATAAAATAAATAGAAAAAGATTGGGTTACTGCTTAGCAATAATATAACTGCACAGAGCTTCTCAAAAGAAGTTGCTTATAAATGGTAATTATTACATGTGTCAGAGATAGGAAGGAAGAGATGGAGGGGAGGAAAAAAGAAAGCCAAACCTCAGGGGTTTACCTTCGGGTTTTCTCCCTGTTCAGTTGTGGAGTGCTCTATTCTTCCTAAAACCCTAATTCTAGTATAGACAATGTTTGTACTTGTCGTCCTCTTATTATGGATAACAAAAACTAGGGAATCAATTGACCACATAATTGGAGCAAAATTGGGAAAGTGAAATAAAAATACAAGATAACAAAATCAAACATCTAACACTTTCCTAAATTTATAATAAATTTATATTTCAAAAACTCATTTAAAAATTTTATTTATAACAAACGTATATTTTTAAAGTTCTCAGAGTGTCTGAACTGGAGTTTTCAGACTTTTGAAAGAGGACATTCTTTAGAATAATGTTTAAATAGACAGATCACTTGATCACTTATAAGCGATTTTTATAGTTTAAAGACCATCTATAGGACATGTAACTCTCCTAAACTACTTAAACAACCCAAATCATTTAATTACACTGGAAATTATTAAAGGCCAGCAGAGCAGCTCACAACCTGTAATCAAAGCACTCGGAAAGATGAGGCAGGAGCATCCAAGCTAGTCCGGGCAACTTAGCAAGACCTTGTCACAAGATAAAAAAAGTTTAAAAGGACCAGGGAGGTAGCTCAGTGAGGCCCCTGGGTCCAGGCCCCAGTACCACCTACCCACCCTCACACAAAGGTTAAAAGAACATTAAAAAGCCAGGTGTCTCAATTACCGTCACTCCAAAAATAAAGCTTTGCCCAACAAAGCAAGCCTCGACTGCCTTGGCTAACAGGTCCCGTATTATACCACTGTCCAGTGTTTCTGGAATCTTACTGGGATCCTGAGTGCATCTACAAAGACAAAAAAAAAAAAAAATGTGAAGAGACAAACTTTGAAAATCTAATTTGCAAGAGTTCAAAGACACAATTGGTTTTCAATACAACACAAACCTCTTGAATTATTACATAGAAAGGAAAAGTGTCTCCGTGAGCAAGGCATGTCATGGCCTCTAGGCTACCATGGCAGAGAAAGACCAAAATACAGACACAAGCAAAAGGTCACCAATCAAGTATTAATACAATAGACGCAGGCCCAACCATCAGGCCTGGCAATTATACTGGCCAAAAATCAAAGCTGAGGTGGGGAGTGCTTTTCCCTGGCACTTGTGCCAGCGGGCCTCTAGAGTCCCTTCCTGCCAATCAGTTTGTCTTTAACCATAAGAAGGGAGACTTCTGCCAAGTGGTCAGGGGAGAAGGGCAAAAGGGTGAGGGAAAAAGCTCGAGCTGCTTACACAGAACCTTACATTCCGAGAACTATGTGCCGTTAAGTAAAACTAGGCTCATCAAGTTGCAATGCAAGTTGCAAGTCAAAGACTGAAATTTCAACTTTGAATATGCAAAGTGTTTCCTTAAATAGCTTCTCCTGCCTCCAGGACATAACCACTTTTAATGTTAAACCTCAATTTGGATAGTCCTTTCTTTTGAATTTATTTTCTTAATTTCTTTAATTTAAGATTAGAGGTTTTTAATTTAATCCTTTAATGACAGCTTAGCTACACTGAATAAAGGAAGCCTGGTGTTACATCAACACTGTTTATTCATGAAATAAATATCTTTTTCTTTCTCACTTCATTATCTTTTAAAGGAATGATGAAATAAGGTTGAAAGTTTCCCTTTTCACTTAATGCTTATTACTGTAAAAACATTCATCTTTAAATCCTATTAGTATACTAGGACAGAAGCCAGAAAAAAGAATACTTTAAGCATCGTTACCTGTGCAAGTCAGTGGCAGTAAGACCAAAAAATGCATCTAAGCAGCTTCCAAATACAGTAATGACAAATAATCTGTTTGATTCTGCAACTTTTAAGGAAAGCTTGTATCTGTAACTTGTATTTTCCACTTCATCAGTAGAGCCGCATTTTGGACAACTAGACCTAGAAAAGTATAGAGCCGTTCATTACAACTGTTTCCCATGTGATGAAAAATAAAGTAAAAAATTTAAATAATAGTTTTATACAAATACTCCCAGTAATTTACATTTTTCATCAACTATTTTTAAAAAAAAATTTTTTTTTTACATTTATTTATTGTGTGTGTGTGTGTGTGTGGCCAGCTCAGCCCACCAGGGGGCGGGGCTGGCTGGCATGTGGTGCTGGGGGATTGAACCGTGGTCCCTGTGGTTTACTAAGCTTGTTCCAAGTAGGTGCTTTAGACCACTGAGCCATCTCACCAGCCCCATTTCATCAACTATTTTTTAACAGTTGGCTTTGCTGATTTAAACAGGACCAAACTCATAGAAATACAGCTGCTAAGAAAATGAAAAACTCTGCAATGTGAAAAATGAGGATAATCTTAAAATATTTATATGTAAAGCCGTTACTTATTTTTTACCATTATAACAATTAGTTTAGCTCATAATAATGTTTATTTTTTATGTTTCCTGTATTTTAGGGAAGGGTCTACAGGGTGTTCAGGGTCTCACTACTAGATTGGACTAGTAGTAATTCTCCTGTTTACAGCTTCCCAAGTGCTGGGATTACAGGTGTGCACGCCTTGGGACCGAACCTCCAGCCCCCACGTGTGCTTGGAGGCGCTTTAATCCACTGAGCTATTTGGCCATCTCAAATTACAAATTAAATATAAAAATCATTCAACTTAAGCTGTTTTCAAGGTAGTGTGCATTGTGGCCAAAGGTTTTCTAGGTAAGAAGTATACACCAAAAAACCCCTCTACCATCATGTACTAGTGCATTTGGTCTTGGGACAGAAAGCAATTCCTGAAATAGTACCTTTTCTGTAAGAATTTAGGCTGAAGGAAGGATACAAGGAGACAGTACAGTGTATATCTTGCCAATCTTCCTTCATAATTATCCTAAATATTGTGGTGATAACTGTAACTTCTATTTTTCTTTTCTAGTTTGTAATAATGTAAGTCTGATTTCTATTCGTCTTTAATTTAGCAAATTAACCCCTAAAACATTATACGATATTTTGTTTTGTCAGGTACTTGAGTTCAGCAAAATAACCCAATAGTCCATAACAGTAGAGTTGTCAGCACAAAAGGCAATTGTCCCAAGTTGCTGATTTCAGCCTTTTACAGCTCAGCATAATGTAACTTTACTTTTTATATCTTGTGGTTATACTTTTCTGCTGGATGGTTAAGACCAAGTTAAAGCAAGACCTATATAACTAAAGAACTGTATTATTGTGAAAAAAATATGTACATATGAGATATTTAGGATACAGCTCTTAGTTCACTAAGAACAAAGGCTTGTACTAATATTTTTTAGAGAAGACTGCATCTTATCCTTTGAATACTACCAAAATATACAATATATTAATTATTGTAACTGTCCTACTAACCTGTTTTGAAACTGTTTCATTGCTATTTTATCTTTTTCTCATTAATAAAAATTAAAAAAAATCTTATGATAATGGCTACTACTGGAATTTTCTTTTCTGTCATGTTGCTAATGATCTGGCTGAAAAACAGTGGCAAAGGGCGAACAGAAAGCAGCAGTAAAGGCAGCTGTGTAAATTTGCAGCCAATAACCACTAGGGGGACTGCATAATCTTCAGCTCTTGAAGTGACTTTCAGAGGAAGCCTTCACAGAAGACACCGCTGATACGCCACCACGGATCTGGGCTAGTTATTATTGTTCCCCGCCGCCCCAGAGGATGGGTCTCTACTGATCCATTCATGTTATGATACTCAGGAAACTTACTAGGAAATAAGACGATTTCTCTTTAGTTCAACATTTTAAGGGGCCGGGAAGATGGCTCAGGGGAATAAGCGCTTCCCTGGAAAGCGCAAGGGCCTGAGTTCAATCCCTGGTTCCACCCCCCCAAAAAACAAAAAAAAAACAAAAAAAAAAAAACACAAAAAAAACCCAAAAAAACCCAAAAAAAAAACAAAAAAAAAACATTTTAGTGAAGTGAACTAAGAATTGAAATAGATACTATGATTTTTAAAGATTATGCATTAATATTGCATGCATATATAATGTAAAATTCCTAGTAAACCTTGGGAAATTAATATTAATCAATATTTTGCTGTTTATAAATGTCCTCAATGTACATTATCACATTCTGTATTTAGTTTATTTACAAGTGGGGAAACTGGCCTAAATTTTTGCTCAAGGAGACAAAATTTATAAGTTTTGTGACCCACATCCAAGCTTTGGATTCCTAGTCTAAAATTCTTTCATGTATGAAGTCTTGATAACTATGAGAACAATATGGCTAACAATGAAATATTTTGCAAAGAGTATCAATGCTAGCTTAACAAAATCTAGGTCTATTTCTTTTTTTTTTCTTCTTAATTTTATTGAGAAACAAATAGCAATGAGACAGTTTCAAAACCAATTAATAGGACATTTTCAATACTTAATACATTGCATATTGTTGTCTTCATAATGGTTATTCACGTGCAAGATGCAAACATGATACCCTGTCCAAACACTATCAGTACAAATCTTTCTTCTCACTGAATTAAGAGAAAGTAGCTGTATATCTACCCTATTTTGTATATATATACAAAACGGTCTTTCATTTTTATCCCTTTTGTTTAGTTTTGTCAGAGATGGGTATTCCATTGCCATTTAAATAGTGTAGGTGTGTGAATTCAGCAAAATAATCCAATATAGTCCAGTAGTCCATAATAGTAGTGGGTCATCCAGAGCACTGGCAATGTCAGAAGTTAGTTCTATTTCTGTTTATACACACACACACACACACACACACACACACACACTAAACTATATCTACTTTTATAAGACATGCACATCAAAGATACTTATATATTTTAAAAAATCATTTTGGGAATCATGCTAGATTGAAATAAATGTTAGCAATTGTACAAAACAGATTAGCACGTCTCAACTGTAACTGCATACAAATCATTTGGGGTTTTGTTAAAATTAAAATTTGAATTCAATGAGTCGGGAACAATTCTGCACTCCCTTTTGCTTTTTGGGGTATTGAGTGCAGGGCCCTTGCACTGAGGTATGCTGCCAGTCCCTACTTACTCATTTAGGTGTGTGTATGTGTGTTTGTTCTGAGAAAAGGCCTTACTAAATCACTCAACCTGGGCTCAAACTTGCAATCTTCCTGCCTCCCAGAGGGCTGGATCACAGAAACATGCATAGGATTTAGTATTTCAAACATACCAGAACACTAAACCAAATGTTTCTGCCACACTTCTGAAAAGCAATGGTATAGACAACATCTTCAAACCATGGTCCCCTGATTTAATCTCTAGAGATACACTTATTTCTAAACTGACACTAATTATGCAACAACCAGTTTTCAGGCTTTTTGATTTCACGATGGTGGCAGTTAACTGATCATCAGTCTGAATGGGGAACATGGCCCAGCTGAGCTGAGCCAGAGTGGTTCAGAATTCTTCTAGACTCACTGAATCCAAATACATAGAGCCTTATTCACTGGTGTTGTTCTACAAAATTTTGCAGTTTCCCATGCCTCCCTAATCTCATTTGAAGTGAGGGATTCCACCACCCTTCCCTCCTCCTCCTGTGCGGAGATCTTTGCCATCACTTCTTGCTGCAGGGAGACAATTACCCACAATCCCGAATTGAGAGAGAAAAAAGGGACAGGGAAGAAGAAGGGAGAAATTACTGGCTCAACTGTGATCACAGGATATTCAGCATCTTGATGCACTTGTATCATAACTGCTTATCAAGTTAAAATTTATTAGAAAAACTTGTTTGTCTTGTGGAACAAGTTATTTGCAATCCACTTTTTTATTTAATAAAAAATAACTGTCAAAAAATCAGAGAGAAGGGGCTGGGGAGATGGCAAAGTGGAATGAGCACTTCCCTGGCAGAGACAATGGCCTGAGTTCAATCGAAGCTCTTTTAAAAAAAAAAAAAAAAAAAAAAAAAAAAAAAAAAGTCAGAGAGAAAAGACAGGCATTAATAAAAGGACAGCTGGATTTGCGTCTGCTTTTCTGTTCAATCTGCTGTGACATCACACGTCCTGTGGCCTTTAGGAAACTACTGTGCATGCACGGGACAATGAGAAGAAAATGTAAGACTGCTTTAGAATAGTTATGAAAATAGTTTCATATTCATCTCAGTTGATCTAGCTGAAATAACAGCTGTACTCTTTTGTTTCATCTTAGTTAACACATCAAGTTTCATTTAGTTTTTTCTTTTGTACTTTTTATGTAGCACAAAAGTAGAATTGACATTATCAGTGACTTTCAGTGGTTTCTTGGCCTTGGAACCCTCTGAAAATCTGATAAAAGCAATGGGACTTTCTTAGAGAAATGTGCACATCTATTTTATAATATTTTATCTGTTTTTTTTAATTTTTTAAATTTTATTTATGTGTGTGTGTTTGTGTGTGTGGCCAGCTCAGCCCACCAGGGGGCGGGGCTGGCTGGCATGTGGTGCTGGGGGATTGAACCGCGGTCCCTGTGCTTTGCTAAGCTTGTTCTAAGTAGGTGCTTTAGACCACTGAGCCATCTCACCAGCCCTATAATATTTTATCTGTTTTGGAGCCTGGAGAATGTGTACACATCTATAACCCATCTAGAGATTCCAGGTTAAGAGTATTCAGACTAGATAAACTTTCTGGCTGGGGAGAGAGAAGACAGTAAGTAGTCTCTGAGCTGATTTACATTTTTAAGATTTAGGGTCTAAGACACATAAGCTGTAGACTAATGGGACCAGAAGATCAATTCGCACGTTTAGGCTGGATGGACAGCTGTATCTGGATAAATTCCCTCCTTGGCCATTATTTTTGGGAGGGTACACATACACATCCATGACACACACACACGTTTACCTAGTTAAGTACTTTATATAATGGACTAAACTTTTATTTTTGTAGTGCTGTAACTGAACTCATGACTGCTTGCATGCCAGACAAATATTCTGTCATTGAGCTATACCCTAGCTCCAAACTATCATTTGCCATCCATCCATCCATCCATCCATCCATCCATCCATCCATCCATCCGTGTTTGTGTATCTTTATAACATAAAACCTTTTTTCAAATGACACTAACTATGAATCTGAATACAGAGATGAAAACAGATCTCTTGTTGAAAGTAAAGTGGGGGCTACAAAGCCCCAGCTGCTACTTAGCACTATCCACAACTATTACTGCAACCCCTATTCCCCCTAGAAGCACTATCACAGCCCCCGGGCTCTGCAGAATATAGCTTTAAAACCACCAGCACTTAACTTTGGGTTTTAAAAGAAAAAGTAGACTGGGCATGCTGGCGCGCGCCTGTAATTCTAGCACTTGGGAAGTTTGAGGATCACTGAGTCCGAACTACGCAGTGAGACCCTGGTACACCTTGTCCTAAATAAAATAAAGTAAAATAAAAAAAGAGAAAAGTAACTGCATATAACACAAAACATCTGTCATGGCTGCTGCCAAGTATTTGAGGTAGAAATAAAATCTTTTGGGAGCAGATTGTTCTTCAGTATCTCTACGATTTTTTGCAAAGGCTGGAGTGTGGAGTTTGGGAAAATGAAAGTGAGGAATTTGTTTCCTTTGTTGGCCGATTTTAAATAAAAAAGGCAGGAAAGATAAGTGCCTACATATTTTCAGAAAAAGTTTTTTTTGTAGTACTGTCAGTGTGGCGTGTCCAGCATAGGTTGGGCCGGGCGTATAGCTCACCGGGCGCAGTGCCTTCCTGAGTTTGATTCCTGGTACCAAAGGAGGTGAAAGAAAAAAAAAAAACTCAGGTCAATAATTTCTGACATTGCCAGTTAAACAGAAGACCCAATGCTATTATGGGCTACTGGACTCTTTTAGAATATTTTGCTGAGTTTACACACCTATAATATTCAATAAAGGAACTTAGAAAAAATGGGGTATACTGATGAATGTCCATTTTGTATCTGTGTATTCAAAGTGGTTAGGATAGATATATAGTTGCATTCTCTTAATGAATAGAATGATTTGTTCTAATGGTGTTTGTAAATAGGATCTCAAGTCCGCATCTTGTACAGCAATTAACCACTAAGAAGAATATATGCAGTGTGTTATTAGTTGAAACTGTACTTCCAATTTGCTTTGAAACTGTTTCATTGCTGTTTATCAATAAAATTTTGAAAAAAAGAAAAAGAAAAAAGAAGCGGGTTATTTTTATGTAGATTATATTTTCACTGGCAAGGACCAACTGCTGGGGGTTTTCTGTGCCTCAATGGTCTGGTCAAATGCTCCTTTCTCAGGGTATTAAGGTCTAGGAAAGAGAGGGGGTCATGTTGGATATAAATTCTAATTCTAGTTTAGACAATACTTGACTATGAATGTAGGCAATTATTAAACTATTTAGCCCTGAATGTTTCTGCCTCTGCCTAGCTGACTATAGGAGCTGGGGTAAGTTACTTAACTTTTCTAAGCTTTGCTGTCTTCTGTGAAGCCAGCATGAACAACAGCATCCAATTCCCAGGCTTGTCATATGAAAAAGGTATAATGCTGAAAAGCTCCTAGTGTAGAGCTCAACACGCAAAACATGCAGCGATGTCACAGATTGGTATCACAGTCTGAGGTTGGCCTTATCATTCAACCTAAGTTTTGTTGAAGATTATCTTTAATAAACGACTTGGAAAAAAAATCCTAGTTTTAAAAATATTCTATACACTATATGTATATATAAAACTAATTACGTATCCCATATTGTCAAGTAAGTAGATTAACTTCAAAAGACCTGCGAAGCAGGTGCTACTCTTCTCACTGTTAGGCTGAGATAATGTGAGTGACAGTAGATGGAAGGGCTGAGATTTGATTCGAACCAGGTAGGCTGACCCACAGGCCCTCGCTCCTACCCAGTAAGATATGCCACAGGAGTGAAAGAACACTTCTGATGTAATTTTAAGAAAAACCTCTGAGCTTTTTTGTTCATTGGCTCTATAACCAATGTCCCACTTTATCAACCACTTCCACTCAGAGGTTAAATATGTGGCCGAGTCAAGTAGTTAGTGTGAGCGCCTATCTCCAACCCCATGTCCTCTGAAGCCTGTCACCATCCCATTACACCACACTGCCTCTGCAAATAAGATTCTGATAACACAAACACCCTGTGATTTTGAATTGTTTTGTGGTAGGCAGGAACCTGAAAATGCGTGAAGCTAAGACAACTCAGATACTATCAAACTGTCTTTTATTGATTTGTTTAACAAACATGTGTTGAGGGGCTGGTGAGATGGCTCAGTGGTCTAAAGCACCTACTTAGAACAAGCTTGGCAAAGCACAGGGACCGCGGTTCAATTCCCCCAGCACCACATGCCAGCCAGCCCTGCCCCCTGGTGGGCTGAGCTGGCCACACACACACACACACACACACACATAAATAAATAAATAAAAATATAAAAAAAACAAAAAACAAAAAACAAAAAAACATGTGTTGAGTATTTTATATTGACTAAGCCCTAGGCTGGATGCCAAGGATTTAATGACAAACACAAACAAAGTCCTTCTCCCAGAGCTGACAAATGGGAACTTCAGTGGCTTAATGAAGGAACAGCGATGAAGACTGCAAGGATGAGTCTTGAGTCAAACATGAGTTAGAACTGCTAATCCCTCTCAGCCTCCCCATTCAGTGCTAACCAGACAAAGACCAGTTAAGAATACTGCTGGCATACTACTCTGACATACCACTGGGTACTTACTAGCTATGTTTATAGGATCTTGTGAAACTCTTAAGCTTAACCTCTTCTCTATAAAGATCAGAGAATCTGAGGCTCTCTGCTAAACTTAGCTTATGTCTGAACATTATTACTATTCTTTTGGTCTTTTCAAAACAGGCTCTCACTACGCAGTTCAAGTTGGCCCTGAGCTCACTATGTAGACCAGGCAAGTCTTCAATTTGCAATGATTCTCCTGCCTCAGCCTTCCAAGTGCTGGGATTACAGGCGTGCACCACTACGCCCAGACTCGTGGCTAGCTCAGCACACCTTGGGGGCAGGGCTTGTGGTGCCAGGGATGGAAACCCGGTCCCCGAGCTTGCCTAAACAGGCGCTTAGTCCACTGAGCTATCTAACCAGTCCTAGTAGTTCATTTATTTATAAAAAATAATCTGGAAAAAAAAATAATCGGGAGCTGTGAAAAAACAACCAGCTCCTGCTTAGTTCCTACAGATATCCTGGAATTGGGCTAAGTTTTTTTTTTCTATTAACCAGATATTCTTTCCCAAGGCAAGTATTTAGCCCAACTTAGCAGTAACTTAAAACTTTTCTCTAGAAATCTGATTACCAGAAAATTGCATTGTGGGATTCACACAAGCACCAATGCCAGAGAGAATATAATGTCCTACCATGGCGATTTATGTGCCCTTCAGTGTGTATTTTCATTTCTGTTTAATGCTTACAGGCTTGACCGTTACCTTTTGGAGCCAAGGATTATCCGAGAGAAGCACTTCTGACAAGATGGGTATATAAAGTTCAAATTCTGGAGAGCAAGCACTGAGGCGAGAAGAAATTTTCTTTTCCTAGTCATGTGCTTACACTGGGACCTACAAAACAAAATGGCCAAGGAGAAAAATGGCAAACCTGTAATCATACGTGACAAGCATTTCCTAAGACAACCTTCTTACCAGTCTTAGCCAACAAGTTGTCTTTTGCTTTACTTTGGTCTCACTATGTAGCCCTGGCTGGCCTTGAAGTCACCACGATCCTCATCCTCAGGCTACCGACTGCTGGCATCACAGGGGGGCGCTTCCATGCCCAGCTTGTTTTACTGTTCATTTATTTATTTTTGCATTTTAGGGAAGGGTCTACAAGGAGTTCAGGGTCTCTCTACTAGATTAGATTCGTAGTGATCAGTCTGTATATAACTTCCCAAGAGCTGGGACTGCAGGCCCACGCCACCATCCCAGTCTCAACTGCCATCTCAGCGTGCGGGAGGCGGCCGACACAGCAGGCCCAGGGATCGAAACCGCAGCCCCTGCACCTGGTCGGAGGTGCTTTAACCCGCTGAGCTATTTGGCTAGTTTTACATTTGAAAGTGAACACAGTATCAGTGTATAGAAAACAAAAGAGTGACGTAAGCAAATGTTATTTCTGAATAAATGCTCCATTCTAGTAATTCAAGAGAAATAGTGTTTAATAGTTTTATGCCCTTACAAGAAAACACAGAATGTATTCATAATTTCAATAGAATGGATGCTTCACAAACCTGTTTTTCTGGGACAGGGTTTCTCTGTTGCCCAGGCTGATCTCTAATTCATGGGCTCAAATGATTGTCCTGTCTCAGCTTCCTGAGTAGCTAGGGCCAGAGAGGTTTGTGCCACCGCGCTCAGCGCTACATGAATCTTTTAAAGACCCTTAACTGGTGGAAAATGGCTCTTTTTAGCTGAAAAATTGCTTTCCTAGAATTTGGTAAGGACATTTTCACAAGAAAAAAAAAAAAAAAAGGTTTTAGCCTTAGTAAACAGAAAAAGCAAAATGTTACATGGCCAAAGGAGGTGTGGAGATTTTTTAAGATTCCTGTGTACAACACATCAAAGAAGTACCAAACAAAATTATAATGTTTTCTTCATATTTAAAAAAAAATTAAATGTTGATTTGTCTAATTTTTTTCATTTATTATCTTATTGGCAGCATAAAACAAATGCTTTGAAAGAAAGGTCTGTATATGTGTTTGAGGTAAAGCTGTATTAGTTTTCGCTCCTAACAGGCTGGCCAAATAGCTTAGCAGATTAAAGCGTCCTTTTAGGCAGATGCAGTGGCCGGGTTCGATCCCTGGACTGCGGCGCCAGCCCTGTCCTGGGGCGTGGTGAGAAGGCGATTGGGACTGGGCATGGTGGTGCACGCCTGTAATTCCAGCTCTTGGGAGGCTGAAGACAGGCGGATCACTACGAGTCTGACCTATGTAGAGAGACACTGTAGACCTGTACTAAAAAAAAGAAAAAAAAATTTTTGTTTTGCTCCTAACATGTGGCAAAGCTTTCAATTTCAGCAAAAGGGGGAACTGTGTGAGTGCCACCAGTAAATTCCAACAAAACAGAAGCCCTCAACCCTAAAACCAGGATCTTGTAGGTGTCAGAGTAAGCTGCTGTGGGAGCCAGCGGCACTCAAGAGGCAGAGGGAAGGGCTAGCAAGATAGCCGAGCAGTCTAAAGCGCTAGCTTAAGCAGGTTTAGGCATGCCCAGGGACTGCGATAAATGTCTGGCATCACATGTGACAGCCCCACCCTCAGCGCAGGCTGAGTAGGCAAAAAAAAAAAAAAAAAAAGGCAGCGGGATCCACACTTTATTAAACCGGCTGCCAAGAAGGGCTCAACACTCCAAATTGTGAACCCTGAGCCCTGGAGAAGATGGAGTCGTACAGCTTTGTTTTAGGTGGGTGGGGGTCAAGGGTGAGTTAAGTGGACTTTCTCCAAAGCAGAAGTTTAGCTGGTCCTGTTATCTTGGGACTGCAAGGTGGATGCAGGGTGCACGGGCAGAGGCTGCTGAAACCTTGTGATCACAAAGTAGAGCAGGGCGAAATGTAGTCTCTTGGGTGGGGCCTGGGGGCCAGCACTTGACCAGCGGAGGGATGGGGGGCTGTCTTTTTCTCAGGCACTATTCTCCCTAAGGAGGGTCAAAAACAGAAATGTCCTCTTATGTTGATACTACTCTCATCTATTGGTTAAAATTCCTTTTATTTTCTTTCTGTATTTAGGACAGTGTCTACAGGGTCTCACTACGTAGTGATTCTCCTGTTTTCAGCTTCCCAAGTGCTGGGTTACAGGCGTGCACCACCACGCCCAGTCTCAATCGCTGTCTCAGTGCACCCCAGGGGCGGGGCCCACATGGAAGGCCAAGGATCGAACCCTCACTGCTGCACTCTGCTGAAGCAGGAGCTTTAGTCCACTGAGCTATCAGGGTGGCCCTAAAATTCCATTTTTGTGAAAACAAAATTCTGCTACCCAAGGCAAAAGACAGAAATTCACAAAGATAAACATACAGATTAATGATCTATATTATTAAAGGAGCTGAGAAAGAAAAACTGAATGCTTTTTTCATCTTTATCCTTGTTAAACCCTTAGGCATACATGACTAAGATACAAAGTCCTGCCAAAGCAGACGGTATTCCATGATTTGGTTGTTGCCTTAGGCCACAAGGCAGTCTCCAAGAACAAGGCAGGCTATGTGATACAAGACACGGAAAAGCAGGAAGGGCTCAAACAGCTGTCAGTGTTAGTGTTAAGACCTCTTAACCATCATTTGTGTTTTATTCTAACTTCTAATTTTATTGTTGTTATCGTGATACTCTGGACATGAAATATTTTCTTTAGGGTTTTAAAATGTAATTGTATATTGCACCACAACTATGTGACCATTTATCAACAAGATTCTTCATACGACTGTTATCAAATGCAAACTAGGAAATGCACTACACCTGCAGCACAACAAGGACTATGTCACATATGGGGTAAATGATTAATAACGCCTCCCGTCTTAAAAAATTATTACAGTATACTTGGCAGACAATTCATCAATACAAAAAACTTAAGCATGACATTTTGGGATTCATTTCTAAATTAATTATGAAAGCACAGCCCTATTTTAATAAAGGTTGGTTAAACTGTCTTTAAGAGTTTATTGCCCTCTAGTGGATTAAATAGGTAAGTAGGTATGTCTAAAAACAAATACCTTACTGGCAAATTTAAGAACTGAAATGAAAAAAGGTCAATTCATTATTTTTGGTTTGCTTGATAAACTTCAGCTGACATATATGTGATGAATAAACTGGATGAGCAAGTTGGGAAGCAAGGTCATATACACTATGTGTTGTAAGTTATCTTCCCAATTTTATTGGGAGGATGGTGATTATTAGATTTCTTTCAGTTCTACCACAAAGAGCAAACCATCTTGCAGTCTATTAAGCTCAATATTTTTATTTCTTCATCAGTTACTCAGCCACTATGCATAGCATCAGTGAGGGGCCCGTCCTAATTTAGACTGACAGTCTAGCACAAGAGACATTAAATGTATGCTTTTAATTTTATGAATTAAATTGCATAAAAATTTGCTACTGTGGTAAACTGTGTACACAAAATGTGCACAGTATTTGTGAAAATGTGAGAACTAATTGGTTTTTTGCTTGGAGGATGGAGAGAAAAAGGTTAGGGAAAGACAACGGTTTTAGAGAAAATATTTTGAGTATAGAGGTTCTTTAAAAGCACTTTCACCCTTCATATGTCAAGAGGAATAAGGCTTGCGCAGAAAGTGGGACAGTATAAGTGTCAGGGCAGATGGAGGAGGATTCGGGTCTCATCTGGCCTGTTTTCCAGAGATTGCCCAGGTAATGTTTGAGGGCTCTGACAGACTTCCTAAAATATGTGGGCTGAGCTCGGCACACCATAACCAGGGACACTCTGAGATAGCTACCTGTTCTCTTTCCAGTTTAGGCAAGCCATCATCCAAAGATGCTTCATTGTATTTGCCATGAAAAATACTTTTGCAAGAAACAGAGCAAAAGCTCCTACAGGGAGTAGAACTACATGTTAAGTTGTTAAAAACAGGAAGTTCTTTTAAAAAAAGCCATTAAGTGAATCAACTCTAATGAATTAGGTTAATGTCTAACAGTACTTTTCACAGTAGAGTTTTTTGCCAATGGGATCAGATATGTATACTCCATGATCCCCAACCTCTCTCTGTATCCCATTTTCATGCTAGCCAAATTGTTCTCAGATTTTAGTACACATCAAATCATGTGACATAAAATAGAGATTGCTGAGTCTAAGGATTTGCCTTTTTTTGCGGGGGAGGGGGGGTTTCGAGACAAGATTTCACTTTGCATTCCAGGATGGCCTTGAATTTACCTCGTAGCCCAGGCTAGTTTTGAACTTGCTGTTCCTCCTGCCTCAGCCTACCAATGCAGGGATTGCAGGTGGGCCAACAAGTGTAAATTACCTCTACCTAATGTCTTAGTTACTTTCCTCTTGTTCTGAGACAAATCATCCAACACCCAACATTAAAGGAGGAAAGGTTTATTTATTTAGCTCAGTTTGTAGAAGTTTCAGTCCACAATCAGCTGGCTCTAAGGCAGGGTGGTGAAAGATACCAGAAGAGAGCCTCCTGATGTCCCTTATAGCATAGGCAGGCTACCCACCCTAGGGCGGGTGGAGCATTGACACCCCTACTCCCAGCATTGTACTATCAATCACATACTCTAGAGTCAGCTACGAAGCCACATCTAAAAGTGCACGGGGCTTTGGGGGACCATCTAGACACAAACCCTAACACACAATATAGTTACACTTATACCTCAAGGCTTATGTTGCTGTGTCTTGTAGATTACTCTGCTATTTTTTGTTGTAATCTATTATTGGGTAACCTTTCAGCTTAAATCCCTCATAATAGAATTCTTACAAAGGATTTTTTTGTACTAGGAATCAAACTCAGGACCATGTGTTTGTCAGGCAGGCGCCTGTGCTAAGCTATATCCCCAGCTTCCCTTACAAAGGATATTATCAGGAGATAGTGTTAAAGTTCAGTTGTAGAGTATAGGGAGCTGCTGAAGCTGGAAACTGATCACGTGTGTGGGCAACTCCAGGCCTTCCAAGAACACAGAGCCCTGAAACAAGCCACGTGAGGCTGCAGGAGTCCAGAGACCACCACACCCAGCGAGAATATGAGCAGCGCGTTGCTGGGCAAAAGGATGTTGTGCGACACCGAAGCACCAAATGCACAAATGCTCTGTGGTGGTTCAGCAGTTCTTTTCCTCCCATTAAGAGAGGGCTCCACCTGCCATTAGCTTTCTATCTCTCAAATCCTCTTCCCCTCGGGAACTGTAAGAACTGCGCTAGACAAGGCAGTAGGGCACTGGTCCAGTATGTGTGATCTTTCCCAAAAGTTACTTAAAAAAATAAGTCTATAACAAGTCACTTCTTTTTTCTAACCTTTGGCTAGATCCTGGAGGAAAAAAATTCAAGTTTTTAGTGTGACCTGGTATGTGGAGATGAAGACAAGATGGATGTGTAAAATACGGACACGGACACGATCTTAAAAGTTACAGTCCAACTAGGTTCATAATTTCTTTGGACTGTGCACAGTGCGCACTCAGAGTTTAAATAACCCACTAACGATTAAGATGCAGGTGCAATCAGGTCTGGAACACAGACCTTAGGAGTTCATCGGTTGCCTGTCCACTGCACTGTTTGCTCAGGCATCAGACTTAAGAAACCATGTTTTAAGATTAGCCAAAGGCTGAAATTACCCCCTTTGAAAGCCAATTCTCACTTCTGATGACAGGAAAAGAAGGCACAACTAGGTTTTCTTTCTTCATTCCTTCTAAAACTCTTCGCATGAGCTATGGATGAGGCTGATGGGCTTGCTGACATGCCCAAGGACCCGCACTGATCACTGGCGCCATATAAAAGCCACAAATAGGGGGCTGGAGAGATGGCTCAGTGGTCTAAAGCACCTACTTGGAACAAGCTTGGCAAAGCACAGGGACCGCAGTTCGATCCCCCAGCACCACATGCCAGCCAGCTGCGCCCCCTGGTGGGCTGAGCTGCCCCCCCACAATAAATAAATGTTAAAAAAAAATAAAAGCCACAAATACAAAATAAAGCAAAAGCTGTTCCTGCCTTGCAAGAGTATCTTTGCCACTTTGTTGCTCTGATTTCCTATTGTACAGCCTGACAGGCCTTACTATGGGAAGGGTGCCTACCATGTAATATTATCTAATGGCCCCCTCAACGTGTATCAATGAAGCAACACAAAGATATAAACAATACAGGTAAGCTCCAGACTTCCATACTGCACTGCTTACCTGACAGCCAGTTGTATTTTTCTGTTAACTGCTTTTATGAGGCATAAAAGAGAGAGCCAGGCATGGTGATACACGCCTACATGTCAGCAGCCAGCAGACTAAGGCAGAATTGCCAGGAGGCCAGCCTGGACTGCACAGGGAGACCCCATTTCAAAAAAAAAAAAAAAAAAAAAAAAGCATCAACAAAAGAGAGGCATAAAGAGATTAGGTCTTTACGTTTTACATGTGTGTGTGCGTGTGTGTGATCAGGGATTGAACACTGGGACCTTGGGCTCGTCAGGTCCTACACAAAAATTTTAAAAGCACATGCTGAGAAGAGTATGGCCTTCAAAAGGGAGAGAGGTACCTTGTAGCCTGGGGCTGGGTATATGCATGAGGGCTAGGTGTGGGAATCTGGAACATGGTAATCTATAGAAAGAGGAGGCTCACTTTATAGATAAGAAGCAATGGCTCTTTCTACACCAAAGGGCGATGGGCCATTCACAGGCCAGGGAGCGGTGCAAAGGAAGCCTCATAGGTGCCTCAAGGTTTAATAATAAAACCTGAATTTGTGAGTTTTCTCTCAAGTGTTTCTTTTTTCTTTTTTTTTTGGCAGAACCGGGGATTGAACTCAGATCCTTGTGTTTGCCAGTCAAGCGCTTATCCTACTGAGTCATCTCCCCGGTCTCTCAAGCGTTTCTTTCCATGAAATCTTCCCCATCTCAGTAAGTCGGACTCCCTTTTAATCAGCCAATAAGGTCAGAACACTAGCAGCCATCCTTCACTCCTCCCTTGCAGTCACATGCCAATCACACCCTCAGCAAGTCCTTGTCCCATCAGAAGCCATTGTTCAGCCTCCAGCTATGCTGACACTAACCCCAGGATGTGGTCTCCACTCCCCCCTCCAGGTGAATACCTTACAAGATTTGTCCCTGCTGGACACATTCCAGCTACACTGGCCTTTGCTCACATTCTTGAATACCTTCATGTGTTAAGCTCCACAAATTCCATTTTGTTCTCTTTCATGGCTTAATCAGTCTCAGGCCTGATCAGTCTCAAACTTCAGGCCTCAATCTTAGATATCAAAACTTGGCATGGGGGCTGGTGGGATGGCTCAGTGGTCTAAAGCACCTACTTAGAACAAGCTTAGCAAAACACAGAGACCACGGTTCAATCCCCCAGCACCACATGCCAGTCAGCCCCGCCCCGTCCCCCCCCACACAAATAAAAAATAAAAAATTAAAAAAAAAAAAAAAAAAAACTTGGCATGGAGGCACATGCATATAAGTCCAGCATTCTAGGAATCTGGGAAGGGGTGAAAGTTTGAGCCCAGCCTGGGCAATTTAGTGAGATCCTATCTCCCCAAAAACAAAATAAAACAAAAGCTAGGGTAGTGCAGATCTTCAGTTGTATCCCCAGTACTGGGGTGGGGCGGGGTTTTAAATACCAACTTCTTAGAGAGGACCTCCCAGGCCATTCTAATTTCTAGTTCTGTGAGGCTTTCTTAGGACCCATTGTTAAAATGTAATTGCTTCCTACCAGGCAGGACAGGAGTCATCTTGCTCTCCATTATAACTCCATACTTGGAACTTCACAGAGGAAGGGACTTAAAAACTATCTGCAGGATGAAAAATTATTACACCCTGTATGGTCCAGACTTTACAGTCCAGACCTATGAAGTCAGAAAAGGCTGTCTGATTTTAAAAAGCTCTCTACCAACTGCAGAATGAGGAATGAGTAAGAACAAGCCAGGCTGGGGATGAGGTTAGAAAAGGAGGAGGTTGGGGCATTCGAGGGACACAAAAGCCATTCTGGGGCCATCTGAGTACCTCGGAGTGCAGCACTTGCCTAGCATTTGTGAGGCCCCGGTTTTGACACCCTGCACCATGTGGGCAGAGGGGAAGGCAGTGTACAGGGCTGGAGCCTTGAGCCAGTGTGGAAAGCCACTGGAGGTGCACTGGCAGGCAAAGACAGGAAGGGGCTTCCAAGCCACACTAAGCAGTTTGGATTCAAACCTACGGGAAGCAGGAGCAGTTGAAAGTTGGGAGTTTAAACAGGGAGAGCTTCGGCCCAAATTTGCACTTAATCAGCCTGGCAGTGTGGGGACTAGACTGAAGGTTGCAAGACTGGCAAGCAGAGCTATGGGAGGTTACTGTTACAGTTATGTAGCAGTCATAGGGGCCAACTAAAGTAACCACTGCAGACAATGAAGTGGATTTGGGATACAGGGGGAAGGATAAAGGAGTCCAGAAAACGTTCAGGTGTATGTTGTCGTGGTTGTTTGTTCAGGTGTTTATTTCCAAATCTCACCCGGCTGGGCGTGGTGCACGCCTCCACTCCCAGCAGCCAGAGGCTGCAGGAGGAGACCAGCCTGGACTACACAGCAAGACCTTGTCTCTTTTTTTTCTTTTTCTCTTTCCGGGGATTGAACTCAGACCCTTGAGCTTGCTAGGGAAGCGCTTATTCCACTGAGCCATCTCCCCGGCCCCAAGACCTTGTCTCAAAGAACAAAATAAACAAAAGCTTGCACCTCAGGGGCGGGGGAGATGGCTCTGTAGAACATGCGCTTCCCTGGCAAGCGCAAGGGCCTGAGTGCAAAGCCCGGTTCTGCCAAAAAAACCAGTAACAACAACAAAAACTCGCACCTCGTCTAGCGCGACGGCGCAGGAGGCAAAGTTCGCCGAGGGAGTGTAAAAGCACTGATACTTGTTGAACTTCTTACTCTTCTTCCCTCACAGCCCCCCTTCAAAAAGGCGCGACCCCGGAACATCAGGTGCGAGACCCCGCGTCCCACTTCGCTACAGGCCTCGCGTCCCACAGGTCCCCGAGAACCCTTCCCGCTCCTCACCTGCGGCCAAGGCCAGCGGCCTCCCCCGGGACGCTCAAGCAGCACAGGCCAGGCTCGGCGGCTCAGCGGACATCCTCTAATCGAATCTCCCGCGCCCGCTTCCGCCGGAAGTGACGCCTTGGCCGTGGGTCCTCGCAGCCAATCAGAGAAGGCGCCGAGAGATCGGCCGCAAAACAGCGTGCTCGGGAGCGACCATTTTCTTTAAATGGGGAGAGATAGTTGGAGGCGTGTTCTTCCCCGACTAACCCGGCAATAGTACTGTCTCCGAGGCCGGGGACTCCGGACGCGGCGCTGTTCAAGGGGAACGGTGCCACCGAACGCCGCGCGAGAAAGGGGGTGCTGGCGGGGTGGGGTCGAGAGCGGGGTACCCCGAAAGCCGGAGCGAGGGCGTCACGCGCAGAGGGGCAAGGAGGCCCCAAGGGCGGGGGCGACCCGAGCACGCGGCTCCCAGGGCTGGCGCGGTGGAGGTGGGGTGCGGGGCGCGGGAGCGCAGCCG